TCTCGGCGGCGTCGCTCTGCACGCACCCGCTGCCGTCCGCCCCACAAAGCGGGGGTTTGCCCTTCTGCCCACCGAGTTTCGTGTCTGGGGTGCAAAACTGAGCAGAACCGCAGCCTGGGGAGAGAGGGGAAAGTGTGGGAAACGGATCCCCTTTTTGTGTTCGAGAGGCGCGTGAAATTTCTGGAAACTGGTGTGATGCCCGAGCGCGCTGGGGGCCCCATGTGAAAAATCCATTAGGAAGAGTCTGGAGAGAATTAAAGCCGCTGTGAAAAGCGGACTGGAGAAACAGGAGACAGCAGAGTGGAGGGAGGGGGAACAAGCTAGGCTTTAATGCCAGCATAAAAAGCCTCCCCCCCTCCTGCTACTCCCCAGCCCTCATAAAAAGAGGGAGTGCTGTATGAATAGGAACTAAAGCAGCAACACTGTCTGCCCGCTGCCCGGCTCTGCCAGCTGTTGCATTCAGCCCAGCTGCCTGTCCCCGTGCCAGGAGCCGGACCTCTGGGGCGGCAGCTGGGAGCCCAGGGAGACGGGGGGGCACCCAGGGCTTCGCTCTGGCACCCGGCCGAGCCCACAGGTTCCCTTTGATCTCCCCATGCATGGCGGTGGGCTCCAAGCATCTCCCTGCCCCAGGTCCTGCCCTCTCCCTGCAACAGCAGTGCTGCCACCGCAGAGACAAACCAGGCCTTCCCCATCACAAGAGCGGCTTCAGAAATACACGTTTTAAAAATCATATCTTTTTTTTAAGGGCTGGTTTCCAATAAAAATGAGACATATGCAAATCACCCAGCCTGCCCATCAGTCCCTTATCTAATGCTTTTTGAACCTGCTGGCCAATTTCAGTGGTATCTGACAGAAGAAGAACGAGCCAAAATTATTCCTATCATAAAGCTCTTGGAGAGAGCTGGAATGGGATCCCTGGCAGAGGTGGGAGCTAACCCTCATTAGACATCAGAAAACCCACAGGGACAAGAAGCTGCTCCCAAAGGCAGGAAGGGCCCAGATCAGAAAAAGCATATTTTTAGACACCAAGTTAATTCTTCTATGATATGCAGATCCACAGGAAACCAGCTTTCGAAAGCCCTTCTGCTCATCACACTGCTTAGATATTTGAAAGATACTACCTGCTGTGGACACGTTTTTGCTTGAAGTCATGGAATCATGGAATCTTCAGAGTTGGAAGGGACCTCTAGAGATCATCTAGTCCAACTCCCCTGCTAAAGCAGGACTGCCTAGAGCACATTTCCATCACATTTTTCACATTTCCATCCTTTTCCCTTCAATCGTAAGGGCCAGGTTAAAACCCAGCACCAGCCAAAATTCTCACTGTAACCATGGGCATTGAGGAGAATGTCAGACTCCATGAGAAATTACCTTTTGGACACGTGTCAGCCCAAGCTGCTCCTTGCACGAAGCTCTTCCAGAGGAAGGCCCTGGATTTCCTTCTGCCTTGCAAAATCAAACACCTGCTGCAATGGAAAGCACGGGGGCCTTTGGCTGGTTCCAGCCTGGGTGAGCAGCAGCTCCGGGGAGGAGCAGGAACCTTAATTCCAATGGGCTCGTGGAGCTTCTCAGTTCCCAGATGGCCTCAGCAAACAGTGGTGATCATGTCGGTTCTTTGACAAAACTGATTGCTGATGGCAAACTTTCCGGGCAGTACAGTCCACGCCAAATTATCCCAGGACTTTGACCCACTGTGTTGCAGACATGTACATGAGTCAAGATAGGGAGATACCTCTGGACCTGCCTTAGCCCAGACAGGGCTGCAATTTGAGAAGTCCGTAGTACTGCTGTCCTTTTTCCTTCACAACAGCCCTTGCATTTATGCACGCCCATCTCCGGCTTCAAGGGACCCTGCCGTTCCTCTGCCTACCAGGGATTTCTGCTCTCCTTGTGCAGAGCAGGGCTGGGGGGGAGAGGAGGCGGTGGGGGTGGAAAAACCACTGGCAACTAATCCAGAAGTTTAGCAGCTGCCACTGGCATTTCAGAGTGTGACGGCTTTTTAGGCCAGATGCCAAACGTGTCTTAGGTTTTAATCTCTCTGTCAGGTCACCTATCGCTTGTCAATCAAGCACTGCTCCCGCAGGGGCCGCTGGCACAGATGCCATCAGACAGGATGCAGCAGACACTCCTACCCGCCATCCGGAAGATTAGCATCAGACGGACCCCCCAGGCTTGCTCCTCTTTAGCCCCTGGCCCTACTTCCTCCCACCTAAAGCACTTGCTGGTGCAGCGTGGCACGGCCCTGGCCGGTGGCTGGGCTTTGGGTGCACCTGCTCCAGGCTCGGGATTTAACGCTTCCCGGAAAGGGCTTCCTCTTGTGCTCTGAGCCCTTAGCAAACGCCTGCTGCCGCACGGCACAGAGCTCCAGTGAGCCCCATGGGCTGCTTGCAGTGACCTTGCTGGGATGAGATCACTGGTGGTGTGTAAATAACTCCCTGCTGCAAGCCAAGGAAACGAGGGGGGGCGTCAGCCCCTGCCCACCTTTCCTCCCCCCCCAAAGCCTGTAGCACATCCAAGGCCAGGGCTGCAAAGCCACCTGCCCACGGGTGCCACAGCCCTGGGCAGGGAACGGCACAGAGCCCCCCATCCCCACAGCTCCTCCCTGGGGCACATGCAAGTTGTGTCCTGTCTCCTGGAAATCCCCGGGGTGCAGAGGTGGGGCTACACCAAGCAAGCAACCCGGGGAGCCTGTGGTATCCAGGAGGAAAGGACCCTCTCCTGGCTGCGGGGGATAGGTGGGAGCCCTGCAGAGAGGCTGACAGCGGTCACTGCCTCAGCACAGGCCCTGTTCTCCCTGCTCCCCCAGATGTGACTCTCCTTCAGGTTTGATGTTTGGCTGGTGCTTGAAGCCTCCCAGGGAGAAGAGATGTTTTAACATCTTTCTCCTTGTGCTTCTTGTGGCTGTAGCCAGTACAAAAGTGCGTGAATGGAGGGATGGACTAGATGAGCTCCAGAGGTCCCTTCCAACCCTGACCATTCTGTGATTCTGTGAATGTCCCCCCACATACAAACACAGATGTCTATGTACACACATGCACATGCACTGCTGCACACAAGCCCATACAGCCAAGCACATACAGCCAAATACATGCATATACACGCATGCCAATGCACTGATGCTCTTGCGTCCTGCATGCACACAGGACTGTGCAGCAGGGCATCCCCATGCAGGCATGCAGGTTTGGAAGGTCCATTTGCATGCCTGGATGCAGATCTGGGTCACACATATATGTGTATGTGACCAGCTCTCTGTGCAGGACCACCACATCCGTGTGCAGGCACGCAGGGACACGCATGCAGTCTATAACCACAGCCTTTTATTATGTCACCCAACCGCCTGTAATAAATAGTTACATGTCACACTACATGGCTTGGCTGCGACTGACAAAGGTCCTGCAAGGCAGGAGAAGCTATTATAGGAACAGATTGCAGGAATAAAATATTAAATTTCCACTTATCAATCTCTTTAATGTGCTATAACTCTAATAGAAGCGTTCAGCCTTCTCCCCCTGAAAAAATCGCCCCATGTAGGGGCTGAACTAGCCCTGCACTCCTCTCTGGGGCTGGAGCTGGGTGGAAGGATGGTGGGTGGCAGGAGGGGGGAGGTCTGTATCTGGGGAGACAGGAGGGGGAAAAGCTGCTGCAGGGTTTTCTCTGCATCAGCCTTCTGGGTTTTTTTTTTCCCAAGGCTGGCTGCTCACTAGATTGAACTCCATTTATTGCATGCAGCTCTTGAAAGAGGTTTCGTGGTCCACTGACAATCCCTAAATTGCTTGCAAGACCCAAACAAATGTACCTGTAATAGCTGAGCGAGGATGGCTGAGCCCCCCCCAGCACTGGCCTAATTGGTCCTTAGGGAGAGCTGGATAAACATATTCAGATCCCATGAATTATTGAAAGTGGGTTTTTTATGTGGTGGAGGCCTGGCCTAACAGGTTGGCTGCTAATCCCTCCGAGCGGGGCAGCTGCTGGTGTGCCCTTCCTTCCCTCTCATTTAACCTCAACCCCACAATTTGCACCTTTGGGAATAAATTGAGATTAAACCCAGGCAGACATCAACCCAAAGTCCCCAGAAATTTCCCCAGAAATCCTGCTAGTCCCCACTTCCCTTGCCAACATTGCACTGGTCGAGCATGAGAATGATGCTCCACCATTCCCCTGAAAAACCGCAAGGAAGGGAGACATTTACCGAAGCCCAGAGGGGGAACCCCCAGACCCTTGTCCCGAGAGGAGCCCATGCAGGTGAGTCGGTGCAGCCCAGCCAGGCTGCAATGCTATTGTGGCGCTGAGACAGATAAAATGCTGGCAGGTGGCAGCAGGAAATATGAAGACAGGGCAGTTATCTGGTGTTTGGAAACGTGTGTCCTGAGCTGTGCAAGAGATACAGGGTGGTTGGATAGAGAGAACGACAGCAAGAAATGGACGTACAGGCTACGCAGAAATGGCAAATGAGACATGGTGAAGAGAGCCTGTTCCTCTCTAAGTCCCCTGCAATACCCATCCCATCTCCTTCACTGTGACTGGGGATTGAGCTGGAGGCTTTTTCCCTCTGATCATTTCAAATGTGACCCAAGGTGCTGGTTGCTGTGTGGAATGGTTTTCTGTTGGTGATGGGAAGTGAGTCTGCTCAGTTTGTACCAGGCAGTTGCCTGCACTGTCCCAGAAGCACGGCGCCTTTGGTGGCAAGTCCCATGAAATGGCCAGCGGCTGAATGGATTTTGGCCACAACCTTCTCCTGGCTTCGGGTGGTGGGGCAGGGCTAGGCAGGGCGGGTGCTGCTCTGTCCTGAACAAAGAGCTTTGTTATTCCGGTGCCTTTCACTGGCAAATGAATAAGCCCCCAGAGAAAAGCATATACCAGGAAGGACGCAGCAGGCAAGGATCCAGGACAGGAGGTGTGAATTAAAGGCCTGCTACAGTGATAATGATCATAAATAAATACTTGGCAATTAGCATCTAATTAGCACATCCCATCCATTGACCTCCAAGCATTTGGATAGAGGAAGATTAGCTTGGTTTACCCATGTTACAGGAGAGGGGAACTGAGGTGGTGAGGGTGCCAAACAAAGTGTTATTGCTAATTTCAGGAGGTCAGCTGCCTGGGCCTCGTCTTTACGCTTGCTCAGCACTTACCACTGTAGAGAGCGGGTGCAGGGGGCTGGAGCTCAGCCCCTCTCAGAAGCCCGTTTCATCACTCTCAGCTTAGACAACTCTTCAAGGACTGGGGCAGCTCAGCACTATCAAAACAGCAGGCGCTCTGCTTTGCCGGGGGCTGGACAGCAGGAAGGGCTAACAACATCGGAAACCTGTCCTGTATTTCCCATGCCTTGGAGAGCCCCCAGCGCGCCTCACTGTCCATCCAGCTCGGAGGCACCTGCGCTGTCTATGGCATCTGCAGGACACAGGCAGCCGGCTGCTCTCCAGCTCACCCGGCTGCACTCACAGCCCCGCCGCTCTCCCCAGGGAGAGCAGGTCTGCAGCTACAATGCCCCTGGTCCCTGCTGGGAGCCCAGCTAGAGAAGTGGCTGTGCGCCGTGGTTTGTGCTGCCTGCCCACCTGGCAATGGTCCCAAGCTGGGGTGTCGGGGGAGCACCCGAAGGAGACCAGCGCTGAGCCCCCCTAGAGGGGAGCCTCGGCAAGTCGTCCCAGCTGCCAGGCACGCCTCCCAGGCAGGCAGCGCTGCTTGGTCGGACGCTCACTCCCTCCTCTGTCCCCCGAGAACCCGGAGCTCATTGCAGTGTGGCAGTGCTCCAACTCACTACTGCAAGAGATACTTCCATCTCTCTTGTGAGACCCACAACTGCTGGTCACTGCCTGTCATTACCCCACTGAGAAAACAAATCACTCCTTTTACACCTTCCCCGCTCTCAAAGCACCAACAGCCACTTTTCCCTTTGGCGACGCCTTGCAGTACCACTTTGCCTCTTTAAAATCAGGCTATTGCCATATGTTATTTCTTCTGTTTAACCTATTTCTCGACAACACTTTCTCTCCCTGATGTTACCTAAGCATATCCACGTCTTTTCCTCACTTCTGTGGCTACCCTGATTTGCAAGTCATCAAATTCCTTCTGTCCCATGTGACATCATATAGCATAACTTCCCATTGTCTGCATCCAGTGATGTTATTCCTTTCTGGAGCCCAGACAAAGCTACTCAAGTGCTCACAGCCTCTCGGTAATCTGTGGCAGCCAGGCGAGCAAGTGCATGGACCAACATGGCATTGGAAGGAGCACAAATGAAAAATCATGAGAACTGCCTAACATCAGAAACACCAGACATCATCCTGAACAAATGACTCATCCATCTCATGCTTTACTGCCTCAGTGGCAGTCTATATACTCATCCTACTCCTTCTTCTACCTTCTAACAAATATCTCCCTGACATGTCTTCACTTTTAACATGTCTGATGATCTCTCTGAATCCAAAGCAGAAGACAAGGGGGAAACAAACTGAATGTATTTTGGTGTAAGAAAGGAAAAGACAACAAGAGGAAAGGAGAAAAAAATCCAAGCCAAACCAGTACAAATCCAGTGCAAAGCAAAGAACTTCACTGCTCCCTTTGCATCATGAAACTCACCACCCCTAGAAGGAGACACTGGTGATTAAGACAGACGTTAAGGAGATGTAACTGACTGGTAGTTGTTACCTCCTCCTCCTCCTCTTCCGTCTTTCAAAACACACCAAGTGTTTTCCTACCTGTGACATTGACTTCCACCAAGCCCGACCGTGTACCGATGGCGTTGGAGGCCTCACAGATGTAGGTGCCAGCCACGCTGTAGGAGACAGGCCCTTTAAAGTAGATGGTGTTGTTCTGGATTTCCACGCTCCCTGGCAGAGTCCCGTTTGGCCTAGGGGAAACAAAGATCATGGTTGACCCCAGAGATGATACTCAGTAGGATCTAGCAGTATTGCAGAGGTGAGACTGACATGCTGGTTCTGCGCTTGCCTTTGCAGGTCCAGAACCTGGGTGCTGGATGGAAAATACCCATTAAAGTAGTCAGCCTTGAAACCAAACCTTGAGACAGCAGGAAAAGAGTCAGTAGTGTGTCTCCAGGGTAAATCCATTGCATCATGAGAATCAGGTTCTTTACATGGATGGAGTTTTTTTCCCTTCTCTGTGATTACAAGGGAGATTGGATGTATTTGGGTTACATATAGCCCCTTCAGCTAATGAGATGTGGAGTACATTTAGTCTATATTCTCCACTATCCAGAAAACAGACTCAGATCCTTCATTTTCCAGCATGATCCCTGAGTAGGTACAAACTAGGTAAAATGGCCAGGTCACTCTTTTCTTTCGGGTGCCTCACCTCTAGCAGGCTCATCTTCAGAGTGTTCCTCCATCCCTGACTTTCCATTTGATGGAAAATACAGGAACGAGATACCAACCTGACCCTGCTTTAATCCAATTTCCTGCCCATGTAACTCTCCTGGGCAGCTGATCAGCCAGTGTTAATTGCTACTCAAGCTCGACGAAAGCAGTGCTGATTTAGAGCCCTGCCATCTATGACCTGCCCATGTCAGAATAGTCAGATAAGTGTGAAACTGGAGTAATGCAAAACTAAGTCTAGAGATACACAGAATAAATGAACAAGGCAGATAAAAAATAAAAAATAAACCTGTGTGTTAGGGAAAGACACACATGGCCTGGTTATTCTTAATTACTGAAGCAAAGTAAAGTAATTACTTCTCTTAGGCAATTAAAAATTACTCAAGTAATTCTTTCCCCTCCTCCCAACAAAAATGTGCACATATTGTCAGCAATTTGTAAGAAACAAAAGGGAATAATGGGGGTATAATTAGGTTTGTAAAGAAGTGCCTAAACACACACATATTTCGCATGTCTACATATACACACAGGCACATATGTATAGCACACACTCTAGTCTTTCCCAGCTACATCACGCCAATGATCCCAAAGCTGATGGAAAAATAAAATAGTGTAACATTCGTCCTCTGCCTATGGGTGAATTAGGGCCCTGCATCTACTAAGACAAGGGCACACCTAAAAATTGTGCAGTGGGATGCTAAAGGAGGCTATTGCTTCCTCTAACAGCTCCCCTGACTGTTGCTCATGACCATCCAAATGAGAGGAGAGGAAACCACAGCTGTTTTTACATTCTAGGAAGGAGCAAAACATCAGCAGCAGTAATTGCTTCCCGACCCCAGGAAGGAGCAGAGGTACATATGAGCACATGGATAAACCAAAGATGCTGGTGGCTATTTCTCTGGCTGCCCAGCCAAAGAAATGAGGAATCATTTTGATATTACGAAAGTGGCACTGTGGGAAGGAAGGGGATGGCCATGGATCTTATTCCCATTCCTTACCTCCCTACACACACATGCTGCATGCCTAGGTGGCTGGCCGCAGTACAATTATTTATCAGGCTTTTATTGCATCTGCTTGGTCTGTGTCTTCCTCACAGGGCCCCACTCACGGGCAGCCTGGGGCCAAGAATGGGAGTGCAGGAGTGTGGGCTGAAAGACCTGGGGGCAACTTTGTGCCCCAACTTTTTCTTCCTCCTCCATTTCCACCTCTATTTCCCCCAGTCTCACTTGCTCTCTCTCACGGTCTACTTTCCTCTTCTTTCGTCTCCATTGTCCTTACCTTCAGCTGCACTCCATCTTTCCTTTTTGTGCTCTCTCAGGTCAATAATCCTATACTCGGTCCTAACTGACCCATGAAGCGTGCAAAAAGGGAGAGGCTGGGGAATCAGACTGAAGCACTATTGGGCTTAGCATCCTGTACTTGTTAATTCTATTCTTTCTCTCTCTCCATTTTTATCCCCACAAAGCAAAGTATTGGTACTCCCAGCCTCTTAGATGTAAGTAAAGAAACTCTTGCAGGCTAAAGACAGACAAATGGATGTACACACAGCTCACAGAGAATCCATAGGAAAACTTCTCTTTCACATGTTTAAAAAAAAATAAAATCAACAATCACACAAGGACATAGGGACCAACTGAATGCCTGGCTCAAAGATGTGCTGTTCCCAAGAATCGTTTCTGCCAGAGCTGAATTTATTACCAGCTCCATGTGTAAACCAGGTGTGCAAATGACACGTCATATTCAGGCTCAGTCAGGCAGTACCATGCTAAGCCCTGACACGTGCATCCCCTGTCGTGTTTTAGTCTAGTTGGTAACTAACCCACTTTCCTGCCCTGGGCTACAGAAACATCACCTGGCTGAGACAGCACTTAGTTACCCCATGCTTCAGCTCTCAGCCTGCCTTCAGCATCACTATCACAGGAGAAGCAGACTGCCCCAACAGAGATCAGGGGCCGCTTGTGCTGCTGGCTGTGTCTGTGCACAGTGACAGAGCTCCTGCCACGGAGAGCCTGATGCCCAGGAGCTCAGCAAGCGCTCAGCCTCCAGCCCCGCATGTGAGCAATAGCGGAACAAAGGGATGAAATGACTTGCCCAAAAGCAGAGAGAAAACCAGCCTCCTGTCCCCAGTTCCATCTCACAAGGCTCGCTTCAGCTCAATTCGCCAGCCCTGCTACACGCAGATAGCCCAACCTGGCATCTCTTCTGCCTTGGGTGCCACAGGGGGCATCTTTGCCTACAACACTTCCCTGGCAATGTTGTGAGGAACCCAGAGAGCCCCCTCAGAGTTTAAGTCGAACTGGCAGAATCAACAGAGGGAGAGAGCTGGGGATGAGAACTAGAAAAAAGGCAAGAAAAACAATCCTCTTCAGACTTTCACTGTGAACAGTTTGATCTGAGAAGCGAAATGAGACAGAATATGCCTAGCTCCTTGCAAAGCCATTTTGAGAGCCTCTTTCCCGATGACAAATGCCAGCTGAAAAGAAGAAAGGATCCATTTGATCTTTCTTTTTTAAAGCTACACGAGTGCTTATAGAAAAGAAAGAGAGGGAGAGAGAACCACCTCAGGTTGCATCAATTCCCATTCCCCAGACACCCCTCACTCACTTTTCAGTCCCTTTAGTGTGTTCAGCCAAAAGCTGAAACCCTGGAGGACAAGGAATTTCTTCTGCTTAATGTCAGTTGCATGGGGATGAGTGCTCCGAAGGGGAGCTCCTGCTTGCAGCTGGGGCTTATTCCAGGGAAAGGTTTTTTCACACACGGATGAATTTTGTGCTATTTGTGCCCCTTTAAGGAAGGGAAATTCTGGGTTCTTTTCCAGCTCTGCCACGGAAGCGCTTAGTGGTGCTGGGGAAGTTATTCACCTTGTAATATCTCAGCTGCTTCACACATCACCAGGGCAGAATATTATTCCAATGGCTTGAAAATAGGAAGTTACCCTGGGTTTTAAGGCTGCACTGCACAGGTAGCAAGCTCCATCCCAGGCCAGTGGAAAGGGGGTGAGTATGGTCCTGACCCACTGCTCTTCTCGCCCAAGTCTCAAATGGAGGATGCTGGGGCAAGACCCAGCTGAAAGACAGGCAAAACCCCTGTCCATCGCAAGGTGAGGTGGCTGTGTGTGGTTCAACTAAAAGCTGGTTCCAGCCATGTCAGCTGGGACCATAGGCCATATGAAACTTCTGATAAAGCCTGTCCACCCAAAACAAGTCCCTTGCCCTAGTTGCTTCAAACACTGCACTGCCTGCCTCAGAAACACAGTCTGCCCTCTTGACAGGGCTGGCAGGGCAGCAAGCCTTGGTTTGGATCTGACAAGCTCAGCTTCAGAGGATGGCCAGCACAGGACAGGGATGGCCAGAAAGGCCAAGGCTGAAGACAGCAGCTTCTCTGGTTTGCGAAGAAAGAAACTAGTTCTAGTCTCCATGCAATGAAGGCCTCCTGGCAGAGCTGTGCCAGGGGACCCAGAATTGGCTCTGAGCATTCTGCAGGAGCACAGTCCAGCAGCACGGGTTTTCCCTTGGAGTGACACCACTGATAGGAATGGGACTGGGCCCTGACTGACCAGAGGGTGACTGAGGTTTCTACAGAGACGCCTTGGCCCTGTTCAAAGATCATATGTGGTGCTGAGAGCAGCAGCACTGTAGGCACTTACAGCTTCCATTCATAGGTGTGAGCTGGGGGGTTGGCATCAGATTTGCATATCAGCTTCACATCCTTCCGGTTGAGAAACCAGTTGCCATCAAAGCCCTCAATAGTGACTTCTGGCTCATCTGCAGGAGGATAAAAAAGAAAAGCAGGATGGAAAAGGAGAGGAAAGAGTTATCGTAAAGAAAGGGGAGAAAATGAAATAGGAAGAGATGAAATAGGGGCAGGGTGGGAGAAGGAGAAAGATTGCAAGGTGAAAGATGATGGGACAAAGAAAGTGAGAGAGGGTGAATGAAGGAGAGAGAGAAGGGGAGGAATGAAGGGACATGTCAGAGGCAGAGAGAGAAAGAAGGTGTGAAAAAGAGAAAGCATATGATTATTCCAAGGGATCACTCTCCAGAAAAAGAGAGCAGTCCCCCACTTCAACCCCTCCAGGAGACCAACACCTTCCCTTCAGAAAAATCCTCTTTTGCCAAACTTTATCACCCACCCGAGGGACTGACCACGCAGCATTGCTCTCCAGCTCTGCCCACGGTGACTTACACTGCACGTTAAGGGTCATGCTGTCGGTGAAGCGATCCAGCTGGTAATTGACCACGCACATGAGCGGGGCCCCCCCCGCCCCGCCCCCAGCCGGTACCGGCTGATCACTGTGATGGTGCCATTGCTATTCCGGATCTCCTGAAACTCCGCTTCGCCTTTGAGCTTGGTGTCCCAGGTGACAGTGCTGGGGGGCTTCCCATTAGAGGAGGTGCAGGTAGCTACCAAGATCTTTTCTGTCCTGCCAGACTTAGCAATAAGTGGCCGCTTGGTGCCCTCCATCCGATTTGTGGGCTTGGCTGCAAGTAATTGTAAAAAGGGGAGGAGGAGAAGAAAAGGGTACAAAATGATGGTTAGAAAAGCAATGCTACCCTTCCTACTGCAACTCAAGAGACATCTAGCACCACTGAGCCTGTGACAGACCTTTTGGTGAATCCAGAGCTGCTGCAAATTGCCAGCAATTTACTCTGGGGAAAGAATGGTGGAGGTGCCTTAGATGCACAGCTATTCGATGGAAAGTCAATCCTTTCCTGCCATAGGTTTTCAGCCCTATATTAGAATGAGAAACTGAAACTGGAGAATAAACGAGTCATGTAGACCTTGGGTGGGGTTTATTCACTCTCAACCCTAAGCTCCATGGACAGGCTCTACTTGTGTTTAGGATTTCTCTGTTGTCTTTTCTCTCCGTTCACATGACAGCCACCAGCTCATTAAAACTCACCACTCCCTTAGGGAACAGGTCACTCTTATTGCACCTGCATTAAGAGATAGGGGAACTAAGGCCTGGAAAGAGGAAGAGGCGTTCCTGAGATAGCTCAGTGAACCACCTACTCTGGGGTCCCTGCTCTTCACCTCTTTACAGTCAACTTGAAAGATCATCACAGGTAAAATTTTTACAGTCAACTTGAAGGATCATCACAGGTAAAATTTACACCCAAGATTGACCTTCGCCCTGAATTCCCAGGACATGAGTCTGAGGTTCCTCCAGATCTGTTCAATGGGAGGCAATGGTTCACATTACAAAGCTTGCCCAGTATCTTACCCAGCACAGTGAGGTTCAGTTGGCTTTCCCGGTTGCCAGTTGGGAAGGTAGCAAACTCACAGATGTAAACTCCCTCATCCTCCAGCTCTAGACGAGAGAGCTGAATGGTGCCATCTTTGAAGGAAGGATTCCGGAAAGTCACCCGCTCTTTGTAGGGAGAGAGGATGGAGACCCCCATGGCAGGGTTGTAGATGGCCACATTCTGCTTGGTACCATTGGTGGCTTTCTGCCATGTGACCTGCGTGATCTTCACATTGGGGAGCGGATTGGTGAAGCTGCAGTGCAGGACCACATCTGTCCCGATAAATCCCGAGACTGTGTCATTGACTAAGACAGTCTGAGCTTGCAGCCCTGCAATAAAATGGAAAGACATGAATATACGAGTACTTCTCAGACAGAGAAAGAGAGAAAAAGAACAGTTCTTTGACGTCAGGCCCATGAAATCCTTTATTTATTCCCTTTCCTTCTTCTTGGCATGGCTGACACAAGAACAGCCTATGGCTACAGGCCCTCACTACCTTCTGCAACTACCTGCATCCACCTGCAGCTTCATTCCTGTTCATAAACACCTTCCCTCCCACAATCAGTGTTCACATTTCAGTATGACCAGCCCTGATTTTCTGCAGCCAACCTAGGGCTCATGATCACCAAAAGGCACAAGGTTGGATCAGTAATACTTTCCTTCTTTTGTCTTCAACTTTGGATGACACTAAATCAGTAACTGTAAATATACAGAGCATGCGTATCTGGAGGCATAAGAAAGCACAGATATTTATCAGCATAGCATATCCTAACGTATGCTAACACACACTCAGACATCCCTTTAATCCTATTGGAAATGCACCGGTAATTAAATGAGCTGCAAAGACTCAGCCTCGATTTCAGAATAGCAATAGTTCCCATATAAGAACAGATTTATGGCAGTGCCCATACACCTTGCATGATCCACCTGCACGAGCTAGATCATTTTTGTGGCCTTTTTTTAACCCCAGAAGTGGCTGCATTTAGGAACCTTCCATCTTGATTCTGCGGAGCAAAGATGAAAGGTGCTTGGGAAAAGTGGTGGCTGGTGTTCATGACTGCTATTCTGTCTCAATTGATTCCTCCCCTGACAGCTGGAGAAAAAACTGTGTCTTTCCATAATATGTATGTTTAGAGATAATACTCTGGTAATTATACAGCCAGTATTTATATGATAAATACAATAGAGAAGCAAGGTGGTGAGAACAAGAAAAGCAGGTTCTGCTCACTGCTTCTGGCAGAATCTGAAATTGGATGTATTCTGGGAGACTGAGAGTAAAGGAAAGAAAAGGGTAATAAAAAAAGAAAGAGGTACAAAGGGTGAGGAACATGAAAGGATAATGAAAGAGAGAGAGGCTGGGGAAACAAAAAATTACATAGCACGAGAAACAGGACAGCATCTTCTAACTGAGGGGACAGAGCATTTTGGAAATGTGTCCCCTACCCAGTTCCTCCAGGGGACAAACAGGCTTCCCATGCAAGGTCAAAATTAACTCCTCAGTCTTAGCGCCCCCAGACCCCTGGCAGACGTGCCCTGTGACTTCTACACATGAACCTGAGCAAGAGTGGTCTCCTTGCTGCAGGCATACAAAAGTCTCATCCATAAACACCACCTATACCATCCTCTGGCACGCTCCCATGTTGCCCCCTCCCTCTATGACTGCTGTACTCAGCCTGATCTTCAGTCCCCACATTTCCTCTAAGGTTCTTCTTTCTCCCTTCCTACTTCCCTCCATGCCAAGCCTGTGACCCCGAGGACAAGCCTCAACAATCCAGCCCAGCCATGAGACGCCATCAGCTGACCACAGTCATCAGCAATGAAGACCGAAACTGAGTCTCTAGAGCTTTGTGTGAACTTGCCCCCTTCTCTGAGTCAAGCGCTGGTTTGCCCCACACCCTAGCATTGCGCCTGGGTGCTGAGGAATGTTTTTCAGTGCTGTTTACAGCCACAGCAAAGCACTGGTGCCCTCGTGTGCCTGCATGCATGAAGCCATCAAGACCTTAGAGGCTGTCAGCTGAGGTGGAAGTATAGCCAGGGCCATTTTTTGCCGTGCATGTCCCTCCAGAAACCAGAGGGAAGGGATGTTAACTGCTGTGATAAAGTCACAGCTGGGCCATGTTTCTCCACGCCAACCAGAGGCACTGGCCAGCTGGAGAAGGATGTCCAGGCAATAAGACACAGTGAAACACTTTCCTGACACCAGACTGGCCTGTGCCCTGTGGCACCCCAGGGCCCACAACGGCCTTCCTGATGAAATGAGGGCACCAGATGCCAAGCAGGCCTGGGTGTAGATAATGCCATGATGGGATCTGAGGAAAGAATGGGTGGATGGGGAGGGGGGAGATGTCTCCAACATGCTTTGCAGCATATCCTGCTGCTTCTACCCCGGAGGTGAGAGAGCCTCTTGCAGAATCGCCCACACCTGGGGAGGTGAGCAACAGCTTTGCCAAGCAGTCTGGCTCTGAAGTCTTTAGAGCCTCGCAAAGCGTGTGGGAGCTTGCCGGGTAGCAAAAGCAATCACGTAGCAAAGGCCCTGGGAACAACCTGCCGCCCATCTCACGGCTGCCTGGCTGTAGGTGTGCTCAGCACTCCTTCTTTCTCCCAAGGCTGGAGGAGAGCGGATTCATCAGCACCGGTCCCCACCTCTTTCATGAAGGGCCCGTGCCTGCAGGCAGAGCCTGCCCGGGGCTGGGGCGATGGCACAGCTGGCTCCGCTCCCACACAAGCTCCCTGACCCCCCACAGGCCTCAGTGGTTCCATTTGAACCAGGCTCTCCTCATCCCAATAGAAGAGGTCCCATCTGCAACAGCAAAAAGTCATGGCCCAGCGCCTCCCTGCAGTGCCAAAGAAGGGAGAGACGAGCTGAACCCCAGTGATGAGAGGATGGAAAGCCGCTGGCTCCTCCTCCACGTCACCCTTGCAGGGCAGCCAGGAGGACAGCCTGGTCTCTCCCTCGCGAGGCGTGCAGATGAGGAGCACGGCACACAGAAGGCTATGACAGGCTGAAGGCCATCACTGCCCAAGGATGGGCACCTAAGACATGCCCCTTAAATAAAGATCTTGTCAGCCAACCTGGCAGAGAATGTGGTATACATCACAAGAGAGAGATTGATCCAATCCCTCACTTCATCATTGCTATGCCCTTTCTTTATGCTTTCCCTGTAAATTAATGAATGACCCCCTTAAAAGTCAAGTGATTTTTCTGGACCTTGAGTGGCAGTAAAATTCCCAGTTCTACCCTGCCTCTTCTACCCTGCCTCTGCCATGGGATCTACACATCAGTGCAGACTGCACTTGGACACAAACCAGAGAAAAAGCAGACTTTGGTGCTGATGAACCTGACCCTGAACCAGACCCCAGAATGGTCCTGCAGAACCCTCCTCTGCCCAGGTGTAAGAGTCAGACTTTTGGCTAGGGAAAAAGCCGGTGCCAGACGACTGCTTGCCAACATCAGAATGCTGCCAACACTGGGATTCAGGCCCCTACATGTAGCAGCTTTAAGAAAAACACATTCCAAACTTTCTAGAGGCTTCAGGGGAAAAGGGGAAAAAAAAACAGCAGAAGAAATAACAAAACAAAACAAACAAAAAATACCCTAAAAAAAACCCCAAACACCATGCGGAAATCATGTTTCCTTTCCAAGTGACTGAATAACTCATGGCTCTTTTGCAAGACAGGGTATACTCTTTATGTTCTGATCCTCCAAGCCTCTCATCAGGGAAATCACGCACCCATTGCTCTGCTCTGTACCACAGCAATAACACCCACACCTCAACAGCAATGATGAGGAAGGGGAACAGATGGAGTAAAGGGGTTTTGCAAGTTGCTGGATCAGCCTTCCATGCTCCCCATCCTAAATCAGAAGCCGGAGGGCAAACTAGCTGCTGTCATGCTCTGGGGAGCATTTGTTTGCAAGGTGACTGAGCTGGGATGGTGGGTCTTCCCTCGCCCCGTTACACACTCAATAATTCATCAGGGCAAATGCATAGATAATTGATGGCAATAAGCGTGCAAGGCCGGGAGAGGAGGAGAAAATAAAATCAGTAATCAGCCTCTGGAGATGTGGATGTGTGTGTGCTTGTGCAGTGCTGGGGTTTGCCTTGCTTTTTCTTTGCTGACTGATGTGTGTGGTCGGTATGGCAGAGAAAAGGCTTGGGATACATCCTGCCCTTTGCAGTTCCTATGCCAGATCTCCCAGTGCCCACCAATCCACTCTGACACCTCCCAGGGGGCAGCCATCACACGAGGAAGGATTAGCTGTATAGGTTGAAGCTTGCTGAGTTGCATTTTACTCATTAGTTTTTTGGTGTTATTTTTTATTGAGGACCAAAAGCAGTAAAAAAGGCCCAGCTGAGTGCCAAAGACATGTTGGTGCCAAGACCTCATTAGTGGAGACCTCTGAGATCCTACTCCTCCACCTTGGCCTCTGAAGTGGTTTGTGTTGATGCCTTTCCCCACGATCCCAAACCCAGATATTTACTAGGTCATGCAAGGCCTTGGGGGCACTGCGCAGAACTCATGGTGCCCTGCAGCACAGGCAGCGGGCTGGGAAGGAAGGTCTGGACCCCCTGGGCATGAGGGGCACTGGAGAGGGAGGAAATTAAGTGGCAGCTGGTGGCTCTTGAACCTGAACACCCTCTCTCCTAAAAGCCTGGGAGATGCTGTTACATTGAGGCTCCACACCTGCAAATCTAATTCTTGCTCCCCCATATAGAAAGCTCTGGAAATGATCTCCAAAGTGAGCTCTGTCACAACAGCGAGACTCCAATCAATGCCTCTTTGTTAAGAACCATGTGAACTCCACACTGCTTTGCACAACCGTGCCTCTCTGAGCCTCTCACCAATTTCTCTCCCTCCTGTTCCCCGATACTCATCTCAGCCCAAGGGCATTGAAACAGCCCTTGGCAGAAGTTTGATGAGCCACCCTTTGGTGTGGCAATATCATGGCTGATGCAAATGTTAGAGGAATCAGTCCTAATAGTCTTTGCATCACCTCAAACTAAACTGAAGGGTCACAGTAGCCAGACCTTATAAAAGGACAAAACAATCACGCTTCAACCTACAAAAGACACTACACAAAGCACCTGATTTTGAGACAGCCCCTTGCACTGCTCCTTGAGTATGGGCAATGGTGTCCTGTACATGGTCCCGTATGCCTCACAGACACTTCAAACAGATCTCCAAGAACTTTCCATGAGGGGAAAACTGGGATGGAAGGGGAGCTCAAAACTTTTCAGCTGGTGGCACTTACACATTTTTCTCCTGTTGTTTCTGAATTTATCTTTCAAGTCTTCCCTATTTTTAAGTGGAAATCAAGGTCTGAGATGCGAGCCTTGTGGGACAGAACACAACCAGCCTCCAACAGCCCAAAGGAACACCACAGGTGTGTTAGGCAGAGTGGGAAATGGGAAAGAAGATGATAAATCCCAGCAGGGGAATTTCAGGTGGCAAGAACCAAAGGTTTGAGCTGGCACTTGGCCAAGATGTTGGGGTTAACACCTTTCCTCTTGCCAGAGAGACTTTTTGTATTG